CCTGGCAGTTGGCAGCAGGAAGGCAAGCAAGAGCTGCTAATACAACCCCAGTTGCCCTCCGGGCACTTCACCCATTGCTGCTGCCATGGCCCCAGTTCCTTGGCCGATAGTCCCACCACCATCCCGTGCTGGAGCTGCCGTTGCTACTGCACGTCCCATGGCCCATGCCGGAGTAGAGTTGCCACCATGGCAGAGGGGCATGCACTGGTGGCTTCAGCTTTGGCATGGGGCACACGACTTGAGCAGGAGTTACTCAATGCCGGAGTTGCTGCCACGTGTCCGAGGGTGAATCTGGCCTACAAGGAGCCCCGCGGTCCAGATCTGGCCTAGGGTGCAAGGTGAATTTGCGCCCCCGTATTAGATGATGGGGCTCGGGTGTGTGTAGCAAGGTGGGGAGCATGGCAATAGGGATGGGGGAGGTTTCAGAGGGTTGCTTTCACCACGGGTGGATCTGGATCCCGGCCAACTTGCATACAACTGCCTGTCTAACCTCACCCTGCAGTGGCCATGCTGTCCGCCTCCTCCCTTTAATGCCAAAACCCATTTTGGCATGTGCACTAACAGATACCCACCAGACAATGGTTTCCCAAATAGGGTTATCCAGATAGATGAGCCCAACAGACCTGACACGCCTCATTTCACTCTTTCCTCTCATATCTGCTGTCTGCTGATTTTTATATTCATTGTTTCACAGAATTTATGACTGTAAAAGGGGTCATTGGTTAGTCCTCATCCAACTGCTGGTATAGTACAGGCCACAAAATGGACTGGGATGCTTCAGACAAAGTTCTTTGGGTAGATGTGATCTCCTTTATTAGGCCAACTAAAAAGTTGGAAAAAATGTCTTAGTTGAGTTGGTCTAATAAAAGAGATCACATCTGCCTGAAAAGCCCTGCCTGCCTATGTCCGTAGGCCAACACGGCTACAACCACCCACCCTTGGGACGCTCCAGGCCTTCGTGCCTGACCTGCCAGTTCTACCAGAGACCAGGTCTCCATTGCATCGAAATGACTGACTTGGGGTCACTTGTGTCTTTTCAGATCACTTGCAAGGAGCAGATACCGTTGTTCGAAACAGGAGAGGAAACACCAAAGCTTGTAACCTTGAATGCAACGGGAATCTGTGTGAGTAGCACCTTTTCCTGTCTTAGAAAACTCATTCGAACTAGACCCATCTGCCTTGAAGCTTTGGAGATCGGACATGACTTTTACAGCCAATTTCTGGCAGAGTCTTAGCCTGGAAAAAAAGATGTCCTTGTTCTCTTCTTGCTTATGCTGGGGTGAATCAGAAGCAAGTCCATTGAAGTTGATAGTATTACGTGCTGTAAAGCCAGGGTAAGTGAAAGGAAAACCCAGTCCAAGTAGTTTATACTAGGAGTCCTCAACTATTTCTGAGTATGAGCTGCACCCAAGTCAGGTTAATAGGAAGGGCACCCTCCTCCTTGTTCATATTCATGTAACATCTCTGTGGCAGTTTCTGATATGGAGACTTGTTTAATACGTAGATAACTGCCTTTAATGTCTTGCAACGAGACAAAAGAGTCAATTTTGTATGAATTCGCCACCTCCCCGCTCCTTACTTTTTCATACTTGTGATTGTTTAGGATGCCAAGTGGCTTTTGGATGGGCCAAGCCCCTGGCTTCTAGTTCCTGGGGTTTTCAAGACAGTAGGGGGACATCTGTACTGCTTGGGTGTATCCTGTTCCTGTGTCCTTTGCCAACCCCAGGAATGAGGGACCCAAACCGTTCGGGGAATGCTGCCCGATCTCTCCCTGACACACGTGAGGGCGCTCATGAGGGGCACCCCAGGGTGACTTCCCTGCTTCATTTCCAGTTTGGGGGTGGATGAATGGGGGCGGGTAGCCAGGGTGCACGCCGGGGATGCAGGGCAGTCGTATTCTAGAAGCACTGAGTCTGGCAGGGTCCGTTTGGCGGCTCTTACTTGTGCTGCCTCCGGGGACGGAGAGACATTCCTGACCATGGGTTGCCCCAGCTGTAGCGCGGGCTTATGCTGGCTGAAAGGGAGTGTAGCGAGAGCCAGGCAGGCAGGAGGAGACAGACCACTGGAGCATGCACGCTTCTCTTCTTCAGCCCAGGAGCTGCATCCACCTTCCTCCTTCCGTGTCTCAACCTATTGATTGACCTCCCTGCTGGGGTCTGGTTGGCCTGAGAGGGAAGATGCTCCCGGCTTGGGGACCACAGCCAGTCTGAATGCACTGCTGGGGATGGAGGTCAGGGAGGCCGCTGCAGAAACCTCCCCCCCTTTCCGAGTAATTGAGTTTAATCAAGTAAACAAACCCACGCCTGCAAATGGCAGGAACTCAGTGAGCGGAAGCTGTGCTTGTTTCTGCGACGCAGGGCCTCTGAGTCACTTCTGGCCCCGGAGTACAATGGCTCCCTGCCTGCGCTCAGGCAGCAGCCCCTGAAAAGTGCTCTCGGGGCTTTGCACCGCTGTGCTGGACTCGCAGCGGGCTGCGCCGCAGGGAAGGTGACTCATGGCCACCACCTCCTGGTCACAGATGCCAACAGATTTAACACAAAGCAGCAACCTGTTTGCATGCATTAATGCATTAATTGCAAGCCTCCTAGTTAGGCAACTTCTTTGTCTCCTTGCTGCTGGGGGTATCTGTGCTAGTGCTCCGTCTGGCTGGTAAGCTCAGGTGCCTTGGGAAGTCCTATTCATCACAGCTCCCGTTAACACAAAGTGCTGATCCAAATTTTTAACTGTTTTCAGTAAGATGGTTAGTATGTCCTCCAGCCTCTAAAATCACCCCTCGCACCCATGCCATAAAGCCTCCCACTCCACTGCCTATTTGAAGAAACTGTATGGCTCCCAAGCTAGGCAGATCAATCCTGTCTGACGTCCTGCCTTTGCAGATGTGGCAAACGGGTCTCCAGCCAAATCCTGGCAGTCAGGTGGAAACCTCTTATGCAGTTCACAGCGCGCACAGACAGCAAGTGGAGTCAGATCACATTTCTGCATTCAGCATTTGAAGCACAGACCCCCAGCTAGAGCTGGCATCACAGCGTGTGTCGTGTTGCATGCACATAGTGAGAGACAGGCTCTACCCCAAAGTGCTGAATTATCTAAACAGGCAGGACTGACCAAGTGTGGGAGGGGAATTAGAGGTACAGGGGGGTTGCCCAAGGGGTTGGGATTAAGAAGCCAGTGTCCTCGCTCCCAGCAGTGCTGTGAGTGTATTGGGCCATGCTGCCTCCTGGCACAGCTCCCCCAACAAGGGGACAGTTGTGATGGTCCAGGGCAGCCTTACGCTGATCGGCTTCCACTGTAGCATGGAGAGGAGTGTCTTGGGTGACCAGGAGCAAAGTGCACCACAATTTTTAAGATCTCCTGGGCCCAGGCCATGGAGCACCTGGTCGCTAGACTCAGTTGGACATGCTGCGGGTGGTGGAGAAAGACAGATGTGACATGTCTCTGGCAGTCCATTGCCAAGAAGACAGGCTTTAGGGTGCTGGAGGTCCCTCAGGTGTGAAAAGTTTATGCCCAGGCAGCCTAGATGGGCGTTGAGTGCCGTTGGGGTGCAGGGGAGCCGCGTGTGGGGCTACGGTGGAGACCATCTATCCTCCGGGCTTCACGCTTGCTATCCTGGTGCTCTTTAATGGCTGTCACAGCTTGCTGATCCTGGTGCTCCTTGCTGTCCCAGCTGAGGAGTGCAGTGCTGGAAGCAGTGTATACGCCTTTAGGCCTGCTGACACGGCTGGTGTCTTTGTGTGTGCAGACTTGTTCTGGCAGCAGCTTCTGTTTGCTTGCCTATATAAAATGGAGAAAAGCTCCTTTTGGGCTGAAATGGAGCCTGGCAAGTGAATGTGTGTGCAAATCTCCTGGTTTGGCATCTTCATTTCCTCTATGCTAGGGGCAGCTGCATTATCCCTCCCCGTGTCTGGCCAGCCAGGAAGCCTGGCACTCCAGTCCCTCAGGTGGCTCGGATCATGATATTTATCCAAACTGCCGTTAACACCCAGTGCGGATCCAGGTTTGAAACCATTTGCAGTAGGACTGCGAGCGTGTGTCCTTCGGCATTTAAATTATTCCCCAAAACCTCCCACTCAATCCGCCATTAACTCTCCACCCAAGGAATTCCTGAAAATCATAAACATTTATGCTTCCCAAGCTGGGCAACCATATCCGACTTCCTGCCTTTGAAGATGTGGCAAACAAGTCTCTAGCCAAACCTTGTCAGCTAGGTGGAAAAGTCATGTGTCATTCACAGCCCATGAGAAAAACAGCAAACTGAGTGCTGCCAGAGACGTCTTTCTAGGGGATCAGAACTTGGGTTGACTTCAGGGGTGTTGGATAAAGTCACAATGCCCCTAAACCACGTGGGCTGTGACGGAGTGGGCTGGCACAATGAACAACACCCTGTAATGTCAGAGGGTCATATTTATACGGCTGTGGTCACCGAAAGCTCGAGTGGTAGCAACCCTGCAAAGTGAAGGCAAGTGCACCCACTTGCACAGGGATGGGAAAGTGTAAAGCAAATGTTTAAACCCGTTCCTCCGGCCTCCCTGGAGAGGGCAGAGCATTTGGCTAGGTTGCTGGATACTTTCCACAGTGAAAGGAAACCCAGGAATGAGATGGTGTTTGGAGACGCTCCAGCCAGGCCCAGCCCTGGGGAGGGCATCCATCTGTGTCTGCAGATTCACCCCAAATCTCGCAGTTTGCCTAGGAGACTGCTCTGGATACGTCCCCTACTTTCAAGCCTTTGGTCTCTACCAGGTCTGAAAGCAGGCTAGGGAAGAGTCCACAGCAGCATCACTTCTAGGGCAGGACTACATGTTGGGCAGGGTGTGCTCAGGAAATGCTGATGATACTGGAAAGACTAAAGCGGTCAAAGCTCGAAGCCATTCCCCCAAGTTTCCTCCACCAGAGCCAAGCTTAGCACCCAAGACTCGTGGCTCCCATTTCCCTGCTTGGCTACTTGTCTGTCAGCCGGCAGTGGAGGTCCGGTCACGCCGGGCTGTTCCCGCTGTGCAGGCAGCACTTCCTCCCCAGAACAGAGCTGTATTCTCTGTCTTGGGTTCGTTGTGCCCTGGCAATGTGTCGTGACACAGTCCCTCTGGCTGGTGGGTCTTGCTCACACGCTCAGAGTTAAAGCAATCACCATTTTGGGGGTAAGGAAGGCATTTCCCCCTGGATCTGATTGGTAAGGATCGTTGGACTTTTTCTGCCTTCCAGTGAAGCCTGGGGCATGGTCTACGTTCTAGGATCATCTGGACAAGTTTTATCCAACAACCTTCCTGCCATTGCATGGCCAAAGTACTGCCGATACCCTTGTCTCTTCCTGAGGTTCACTGGAGGGGCCTGGCTTGTGGTTTCAGTGGCTGTTTTGTGACCCCTCTGGACAAACCTCTGTTGTGTGGCTGGCCGCCGTTGCAGGAAACTGGACTCAGTGACCTGGGTGGTCCTTTCCAGGTCTGTGCTCCAAAGAGGATGTCTACACCACCTCCACAGTAACCCTGAGACTGGTGTGGAGAAAAAGCCCTGCCTGCTTGGCCCAGCCCTGCCTACCCTACTTGCCAAAAAATGTCCGGTGGTTGCTTTTTCATAGACTCATAGAAAATGAGGGCTGGAAGGGACCTCAGGAGGTCACATCTAGTCCAACATCCTGCTTGAAGCAGGACCAGCCCCACCTAGATCATCCAAGCTAAAGCTTTGTCTGCCTGGGGTTAGAAAAACCTCCAAGGATGGAGAGTCCACCACCTCTCTGGGTAGCCTGTTCCAGTGCTTCACCACCCTCCTAGTGAGATAATTCTTCCTAATATCCAACCTAAACTTCCCTTGCTGCAACTTGAGCCCATTGCTCCTTGTCCTGTCATCTGCCCCCATTGAGAGTAGCCAATCCTCTTTCAAACTCCAAGACCTGAAGCTGGGTTGTGTTCATGAGAACAGCGGTGCGTGTCCCAGGTATCACTCTGAGTGAACGTGGCTTTTCTTCAGCATCTGGAGTTGGAGGAAGCGAGCAAGGGTGTTTCTCACCACTGGAGTGGCACGGAGACACCCCCAAAATCATTGTAACAGCCCAGCATGATACAGATGTGAAGGTATTGGAGGACTTCTAGGATGGTCTGCTAGGTTGGGGTAAGCCAGCACTTGCCCATCAGTA